CCCCCCCCCCCCCCCCCCCCCCCCCCCCCCCCCCCCCGCCAACTCACCCCGCTACCCTTCCTCTCTTTGCACACCTGCTGCTTCAAAATCACCCGTGACGTGTCTGACACTGTACATTCGGTTTCAGAAGGCCCAGCAGGGAGGATGCTTGTGTGTCTGTGTGTGTGTGTGTGTGTGTGTGAGAGAGAGAGATGTTGTGAGCACGAGGAGTTGGTAACGCGACAGATGTGAGACACGTTGAGCGATAACGAGCTGTGTTCAGGACAGAAAACTGTGATACAATGCGGACAGGCTTCTGGCTCATTGCCTACAATCCCACTGCCTCTGTCTGTCTGTCTGCGTATACGTTATGGTAATCGACAAGCCTAAACTGCACAGCCATGTCAACCTCTGTCTCATAAACTAATAGGAAACGAGAAACAAAAGGAAGAACTTCACTATTGCCATCCTCTTTGTCCTGTGACGCCTTAAAACAAAGCTATTTCAATCAGGGGAGACTTCATTTACAGTAAACAAATACATTTATTGCACATTTATTAGACACTGTCCTGATGGAGTCATATTCGGTGGGGGGTAGTGATGCCTTGGTTAGGACTGACATTTATAATATTTAGATTATATCATTCTACATACTGTCTGTGTCTGTCAAATGTGCAATTCCAAATTCAGGCTTAAGCTCCCCCCCCCCCAAAAAAAACAACATTTTTCGACAACTGTGTATTAGGACATTATATTTAGGGGAAAAACTCAGAATTCCCAACATTAAATACACTGTAAAGTCACAAATATAGCCGCCTAAAGTAGTATACTAATGATAATGGTAATGATGGCTTCTGAGCAACGCTACATATACACATTTTCTTTCCTGTTTTTCTATGTTCTTTTATGAACATGAATAAATATATTATTAATATATTAAGCACTCGGCAGCCGCCGTGAAGGCAGCGTATAACAGTGGTGTGATGAGTTTGATCCAACCTTGCAAAGAGATGTGATGTGGTCCCACAAAACACAAATTTCACAACTTCCGTCGCGTAAATGTTTTATAGCATGTTTACCATGGCACTTACATGTGTTTGATTCGACACAATAAATCCCAGTTCGGCAATCCTACAAGGTCTGTGCAGCTTCAACATAATGTCTGTATAAACTCTGTGTACGACAGTGTTCGAGAGAGCCGGTGTGAGTGCTTTACTAATGAGTTGCGCATAAATATTCTTATTAACATGAGTCATCCGAGTGCAAGAAATCCGATAACATTGAGAGGAATTCTGATGCAAGCTTTGCAGCTTTCACAGGACCCTATTTCACTGTCATCATAGTACTGATTATAAATATTGCAACACAGTTGCCACCGGGGGGATTCTGCCACCAGACGTGGCACTCAATCTAAGAGACTGGTCCACACTCCATAACACACTGCTTTAGATTACTCAATCCAACAGTACAGGAGCTCTTCTGAAAAAAACAAAAATCCCTAGAGTAAAATATGTGAAACATCAATGCTGGGGAAAGCTTTTCAGACTTTGAGAGAGATGCTTTGTAGTAACGCCATTTGAAAATATTGTAAAATTCCCTTTATAGACAGACAGAGCAGGATCCGAGTCGGGCACACACATTTACAAACGTCCATCTTATACATTGATTTTACCATTAAGTGTACTACAATACATAGAGGGGTCAAAGGCATTGTGCAGCTTTTTGCGGTCGCTAAACCTGCACAAAGAAGACAAGAAGAAACCCTGTAATTCCCTAAAAGGGTGAAATGCACCCCCGAGCTGTGATGCCTGCGCTCCTGCGCTATTTGCACGGATGCAGATATGGTAATATTCCTACATTCGGCACAAAAATTACCTCTATAAGCAACCGCAATCCATTTTTTTCTGTGAATCCGCCCCTGAATGTGATGTTTAGTGTCAATGCAGGCAGAATACTGGTATTTCATGGCCACACCAGTTGTCATGTACCGTATGCGACCTTGCATTTCTCCGCCTACAACAGCTGACACGCTTGCTGAGTTTGTGCAACTCTAGATGCCTGAGTCCTCATCCTCTGATAGCAAAGCGTGCTGACAATGTGTGTGGTCTTGTATTTTCTGCAGAGCCTTTTCTATGTTGTGCCCAACCAACATGTCATGTCCACGGTACATGATATGATGTCAGATCGGTGTCTTGCACAAAAACCCCTTTTGAATGTGGCCACAATCTTCACTTCTCAAGTTGCTTGTTTTATCACTCTGACTGCTCTAAACTACACAATATGTATCGTAAACACATATTAGGGTGATCATAAATAGTTTCTCTGAAGCCCAGTCTCCTTTCAGTGTCAATCCTTTCAAGCAAGGCAGACCCTTACAAGCATTAGGTGCATAAGATCATTGTGTACAGAGACAATATTACAAACTGACTGCACATATACAGAATTACAGTTCAATGTGGCCCACCAATGCAGTGTTGAATTGTATGTGTGTGTTTTTATCTCTTTCAAAAAATGCTCCCCAGGTCATTTCCATAAATAACAGTGCATTCTCAACTTGTCAGGTTAAATAAGGGATAAAAACAAGAAAGACCAATCCTGCCTTCTCAAGATTGGAAGCTGTGGTTGTAGTAGCTGGAGCATTAGGACAATGCAAAGGAGTAGTATTACATGGTGCATGTTTTGAATCATCAATCAGAATCACTGTAGTCTCTATGCCCAATATATATATATATATATATATATATATATATATATATATATGCCATGCTGAGATTTGTTTACATTAGATATAGGACTCCAATCACAGGACATGGACATTTTGGACATGAAATAAGGAAATGTAAATGCTCCCATTGGAAATGGGTTACAGTCAAGGCATTTAACCTAAAGAGATTTTGTGTCCAAGTGGAAAAAAGTCCTCAAGAAATGCTTGATGGGAAAGTTTTGAAATTCGCCTGGACACGATTCAACAGAAAACACTTCTTTAGCCATAATTCAGTGATCATGTAAGCCTAGATTGTTGTGCATGCTAGATTTGACCATGTTGTATTATTCCTTGAGCATACAATTATATCTGGTCCCATTCTATCTTGACTGACAGTACACTGCACTGGTTGAGACAGGAAGCAGGCTGGCTTGCTTACTCAAAAGTAACTGTATTGCAAACACAAATCTCGGAATGTAACCTTTTCAAATATGAAATAATTATTATCACTAGAGTGGATAGCAGCCACTTTGAATTCCCCAGATTTCCGGATTTCAAGGGGTATATGATACAAGTAAAATAGCTTTTGTTGAAAATGTGTTGTCAAATTGACAGCTATACAATGCGGTTACAGCCTGAAGTAGATAGTTCAGGACCCTGGACAGCTACACAATGCAGTTACAGCTTGAGACAGACAATTCAGGACCATGGTCAGCTACACAAGGCAGTTACAGCTTGAGACAGACAATTCAGGACCATGGACAGCTACCACATGCAGGTGAAGCTTGAAGTAGACATTTCAGGACAACGGAAAGCCACGGTGTGCATGTACAGCTGAAGGGAGATATTCCAGGACCATGGACAGCTACAACATGCAGGTGAAGGTCAGGAAGTGGCCTCAGCTTGTAGAAATAATTATTATCACTTCGGTAGATTTCACTTTGGAAGTCCCGGATTTAAGGATTCTCCTTTCAGGGAACCATACAAGTAAAATAGCTCTTGTTTTAATGTGCGTGATATCTAGTTATATTATTACTGGACTACTGCTTCAACTGTAGAGAAAAGTCTATCCATTAGGACGACACGAATGTGGTGAAGTTTACACGCTATTATATTAAGAGAAGATACTGAAAATGTTCCAACAGACAAAGCGGTTTGAACTGTTCACATCCATATTGAGTGAACAGTGAAGGTGAATGTTGGTAAAAGGTGACTGCTTGAATTAATTTCAGGACCAGGGACAGCGATGGTGTGCACGCGCAGCTGAAACGGGATGTTTTATAACGATGGACAGCTAAGGCATGTAGGTGAAAGTCAGTACGTGGCTGCAGCTTGTAGACAGTTCAGGACCAAGGACAGCTACACGATGCAGTTACAGCTTGAAGTAGACATGTGCAATCACTGACTGGCAACATCTTTCCCAGCTATTTTAATTCCATCTGTGCTATAACTTTAACATATAACAGTGTAACCCCTGGATGTATAACAGATCTTGGCCATCTCAAGATATGTTTTCACTGTTTGTTTGAGGATATTTTGTGTAAGCATCCGAATAAAGTATGTATCCTTGCTTCATGCACCTGTTTATCCCCATTTATGGGTCAATCAATATCACCATGGATGGCATTGTCTTGCTCAGGTTATTGTAGAGGCAGTGTTAACAATTGGGATTTGGTGTCAACTTCATTAGTTATATTGCCGATAGTCATCATCAACGGCAATCAGATAATTGGTCCCACCCTTTCCTCACAGCACTGCCTGTAGAGGGGAGGCTCTCTGTCAATCTAATTGGTTGAACAATGTAGAGTTGTAATCACCAGGACGAGCAGTTCATCGGTGATGAATAGTGTTGTTGTTTTTTGAGCAGCAGAGGGACTGAAAACTGACTAGATTAAATGGTGCATTTAATTAAGAAGCTTGGGATCAGAAAGTCAGAGATCAGTCTTGGTCCATGCCAACAGTAGCTACATTTAGCCTAGCTTGTTAGCGCGTGCCATCTGTTCACACACAGATTAACGCTACACAGCAGGCGCTAGCTACGGGTACATTTTCTGCTTCAGTACTGTATGGGCTGCTTTTCAGTAGATCATATTTCCACAGAAAGTGCTTGAATAGCTTTTCTTTCTTTTTTTTTAACTTTTTTTTTTTAAATCTCATGATCCAAATTGGCGGGGCTACATTGCTGGTGTGTGGGGGTTCTTTAGTCAATTATCTTGGAACTCAATTAAAACCACAAGCAGGGTGTTTCTCTCTGTGATGTGCAAACCTGTTATTTCACCATGTGCGTTGCCTCTACCCTCCATGTAAGAGATACTGTGTGTCTCATTAAACTAACCATATGTCAGCAGCAGAGGATACTGTGTGTTAAAATGGAAATACATCCTGAAACAAAATTCTTGTAAATCACATGTTTGTGCTACGAAACAGGAAGCTGCAAAAGCAGACTTTTTATTTTACTTCTATTTTCTGTGGATTTTAAAACCATGACAGGTCAGGGTATTTAATTAGTTGTTTATCAGATGTTTAGCTTTTTATCAATGCACATACTTCTTTCTTTTCCTCTCTCCTCGGTGCTGTGGTGGTAGTCCTACTCAAATGATAACTTTTTGCATTCCCTTTCATTCTCTAACTGATGAACACGTCTTCTGTTAGTACTCTGATGTCCTTCTCTGCAATGTTCAAGGTAAAGAAAAGCTGTGACACGGTCCATGTTTACCGTTAAGATCACGTTTTTGTTGTTTTTATTTGGAAATGATGATTCACTAACATGTAACATTAGTACTGTGACTTATGTTACTTAACTAAATTCAAATTTAAATCGATATATGAGTTAGGTATTGGGCACTGCTGTCTTGTTTTGACTTTACTTAAAGTTACACGTCATCATTAACACCGTTTTAATGTCACTTCTACGGTCGGCAGCCTACTCTGGCTAGTTGAGGCTTAGCCATCTGCTTTACAAGTAGGGCTCACTTCCAAATCACTGCATCTCATTTAGCTAGTTTTTACACCACATACTATAAAAAGCAGCCAGCTAATCCTAGCTTTTGGCAGCATTTTTTATTATTTTGTATTATTTCTTATTCTTTTTATTTGGCACTAACCTGAGCTCAGCAAGCTGCTGCTCACCAACAAACACTCCAAAATATGATGGCTTGATATGTTTGGCTGAAGGATATTGACATGGCAGTTGCCAGTGATTCCAGGGACTAGAGAGGATACTCTTATAATATTGAGCCCAGTTGATTATGTCTTAATAAAAAAAAAACAGCAATATCTGAGTAGACTGAATGGAGGTGAAATCCAGCTGTTTGTTTGAGGATGAAATTAGATCAGAAATAACTGCTGCAACATATCTTCAAATGAGCGAATACAATATCAGAGTAAGAGACTGTGGATAGGTCCAGAGATGAAGTACTTTCATGCAGGCATTGGGTTCCAAATACCAGCACTTGAAACAACTTCAATGTAATGATCCTGGTGGCAACGGTTTCCTTGGAAATCCTGTTTTTTTGTTGTGCTTTTACTGTTAAGCCTTGGAAATGAGTCCTCACGCAAACATGCCTCAGAAGGAATTCTACTTAGGAACTGTTACTACTCATATCACACAGGAGCATACTGTATCACATATTACAGGCGGTGCTAAGGGGCTTCCTAGGCCTGTTCAGTAATCCATCCATGTTTAATCCCCTGGTCCCTGATGACCAGATAGCAGCAGATATTGTAATTTGCTTCATGTGGTATACAGTGAATGGAGAGCTTGAGCTTTGACCTGTTTTTTGATTATACTATATCGGCCCTTTAAATCCATTTAAGATGCTGAGTATCGTTTGAAATTAGGTTGCTATATAGATGAAGACATTTTCTATTCGAAAATTAAGAATTAAAAGGTACCCTATGGCATTTATTTTAATAAACAAACAAAATCACTGAATTAAAAAATGATATTTTACCCTATGACATCAAGCAGTTGCCAAGCCCACCCACTCTTCAAATCAAGCATCGAGCATGCTGACAAGTGAACGTGTATTTTAAGTAAGAAGCAGTGGGGCAGGAACACCGGGTTGGAGGCCTGTAATAAGAAAGGCCATTTGGTTTTATGAGCTCATAATAATGAGAAAGTCCTTCATCAGTAGAATACCAACAACAGTAGTAAAAAGCAGAGGAGGACAAATTACAATGAATCATTTGTCACAATAATTACTCCTTACTGTGCTCGATAAAACTGAGGTGTGTAAAGCAATGTCAACTAACCGTGTTCACAAATTGAAAACTTATTGATTGTATTTTTATCAAGTCAAATGTCTAATGAAATATCTCCCCAAAGTCCACTTCTGTAAATCAATGGGACACACTCATGGAACAGTGTGTGTGTGTGTGTGTGTGTGTTCGTGTGCGCGCATATCAATACCCTTAGGGGCTGTTTGTCCTTGCTAATGAGCCGTCATTTTCAGAGTCAGTTGTTAAATGGAAGTTGTGTTTGCTTTTGTCCATATGCTCTATATATATATATATATTTATATACGTGCCCGCCGTTGTCTTTAAGCAGCGTTCGCCTCCCTCGACCTTTACTGTGCAAACAGCAAACAAAAATGTTTGCTTTATCTTCCCCCACATTAGAACGATAGGGTTCAGCATGAAAGTTGGCAGCGTGGCCCTTTAAGCCTGGTATCTTGACTTACGATCCACTTATCTAGCGGTATCTGCAGTGCACTGTACGTTGCTCTGCAGAAACGGATGAATACGCCGTGATTGATAGATAAGATGCAGAGAGTAGTTGGAGTGTGGATTCATAAAACACAAACACTACGAGAGCTTCTCCGTGAGCTCCCACCGACTGCGGATACCAAGTACAGCATGCACGCAAAATATCTACTTCTGTAGGCAAGTTAAGTATCTACACGGACACACACACACAACTCAGCAAGTGGGCCGATAAAAGGATGTACAACATCACCGCAGCTGCCCACTGAGAACTACAGTGAAAGCGTGGCTCAACCATTTACCAGCACCTTGTTGGCACATTTACAAGAGATGAACTGGGCATAGTGAGACATCCACACATATATACATAACAGTTCCCAGAATGTCGTCGATGCTGTGTAATATTATAACGTTATTGTAAGGCTGATAATCATTTATTTGCAACATTTCAGGAGATGTTTTATGGAGGAAAGGAATCTCTTGCCTATGACCTCACCCTTGATCACAGCTGGGTGTGGTCAGGTATCATACACCAGACCAATATGAATTGCACTATAGTACAAAACTGCATTACCACTGCACAAACAAAGAGCATGCAATCAGTTGACAGAGAAAATACGATTATTTATTTCCTATTTACTCTTGAAAGAGCAGCTTAAAAGCATCTTGAATCCTCTTTTTGTTGACCTTGAGGGGTTTAACCTCTCACCTTGATGCAGGGACGTAGAGGTGTTGTGCGTCAGTACACTGTGACATCTACATGGAACATACTGTAAGTGCTAGACTTAATAGATTCATTGGGACTGACACTGACCCGCCGGAAGGTGGTACAAAAACCTGGAGTAAAGAAAGAATAAGCAATAACTGAAAGTTTCAAAGTCCTCAACAGAATCAGAATGTGCGATGTCAGCAGGAAGATTATTCCAGAGGAAAGGGGCCTTGTCCTTGTAACCCTAGCCCGTCCTTATAATATCCAAACTGAAAATAAATCACATCACGCAGCATTAGAGGACATTTAGTCCATGAGAGGCAAGGCTATCACAAATGCATTGTGTAGAAACCACCAAGATAACATTAAAGTCTAGCAGTGCATGTGTTTATTGCTCTTTATATTGGGCCGACACACCAGGAGTTGCAGCGCTCCAGAAATTGCTTGGCAGTGCTGAATGCACAGCAGCCCATGTCAGAGAGAGCCCTGTGCTGGTGGCTTTTTTTCTGCAAGGTGTGGGCTTTCAGTCCAGGTACATAGTGTAGCATGCAGTGAGTCACAGCCTGTGACCCAGTTGAGCTTTGTCGCTCAGCGTGACCTCATTCTGACTGCGCAGTTAAACAAATCTGATGCCACTGCAGCTGTTTTTTTTTCACCAGGCACAACACGCCAAAAACGTACTCGAGCAGTCCAGATACGTTTTTGTCTGGATTTAAAGTGTATCTCACTGGGCCATTTAAAAAAAAAAAAGCAACCTTGCCACTTCCAAGGCTAGCAATGTGTATGAATGCATTCAGTCATTTGAGGACGCATGATTTGCAACAATATATTAATAATTAACACTAAGGCTGGGAATCGGAAACACTGAGAAATGACAGTAACACAGTGTGTGATCTCAGGTGATGTCGAGCTTACGGACAACAGGCTAGTTGTCCTTAATCCTGCGTCAGCACAGAAGTACAGCTCTGTGTGTGTGTGAGAGTGTGTGTGTGGTCGTTTTAGATGTGTCATTTGTAGCACGTTAACAAGCACGCACAAGACCACGCACACATACACACACACACAGTGTGTGGTGCGATAAGCTCGTTAGCAGGGCTTTGGCTCAAAGGAAATTTGTGATTGCGCTAACAGTATCCAGGCAGGGTTTGTTACTGTGTGCATGTGTGCGTGTGTGTGTGTGTGGGTAGGTGGTGAGGGGAAAGAGTGAATTGTGAGGGACCTTTTCCTTATTTCCCTTTGCAAACAGGTTGCAAGGCAATTATTTTGATAGCTAGCTACTGACCCGGTGTGGATTCCAAGACCACGTTAGTATTCTGTAGGCAACACTATCATTAATCTACCTTGTTTATACCTCACTAATCTTCTTTAATCTGATACGAGGCCGCTTCCAGGATTGAGCACATGCTATGCTAATAACTGATTGGTAATAAAACATGGAGCGAGCAGTGCGACCTTTCTAAACAGCTCTCCATAAAGGGCCGGCAAGCCGTCCAAACAGCTGACTATACCTGGGGTGCAGTGTCGGTTGTTTTAAGTACCAGGAAGCACCTAACACGCCTGAGAACGGTTACGTTGTGGCTCGTTTTGCTATGCAGTCACTGTTGGTGGAAAGGTTACATCCATTAGTTACTATAACTGACTGTAAACAACACCCCGACAGCATCTGGCTGACAAGGCTTTTCGTTGCTTCTTTACTAACCTTTTTTAAAAAAAATAATACTCATACTCAAATACAGATTTGTTGTGATGTGTGTTCATGTCGTGATGCTCTGAACCATCGAGGTAAATCTTTCCTTGCTGCAGCTGCCCTTTGTCACGATTTACCGTGAATGGAACTGCTGTTCCGGAGCAATGAGACCAGTGATGTGACTGGGAGAGCGTAATTAGTGGTGGAATATATCAATAGGGGAAAAAAAAAAAATAAGGGAGCGGAAAGATGCCATCCAAAATAATAAATATCTCGTTCCAGACTGCGGGGGCTAAAAGTCAAATTCTCCTTGACAATAATGCACTACATGTTTACTTTCAGGGAGACAAACTCATTCATGTATTCAATAAATAAGATCAGTGTATATGCTACTATAAGCTACTTTTCCCCCCACTGGCTGCTCTACTCTATATCCTCTAGGAAGGCTTTGATTACTGTAAACGGTTAGCTTTAGATGAGTCCTCAAGAACCCTTTTATTAACAATAATAATTGGGGACCAACCAACACCTCTAACTGCCCCCCCCCCTTCAAAGCAGTCTACAACGGGGCCTGATGTGATCTTTCTTATCACTCGACCTCGTACTTCAGGAACCTGGGAGACATGTTGGCAACACAACAGTGCCAGCAATCCTCGTGGACCAGCTTTAATCTTGCGATAAGCCACTGTTGAGTACTGGCACCAGACCTTTTTGAATATGAATAAAGAATAAACTCTTTATTTACCCTGATTTCTATAGTTTCCTGCCATATTAACGTGCAGAAGTTTGTTGAGTAAACCGGTCTTCATAGTGGCACGTTCTTTCACTTAACTACTCTGGCAGCTAAATGCTGTGCTTCCATTTCTGGCTCCTGTCTTTACTTTGATACGTCAGACATGTTGTCTTTGCCTTTATAACGAAAGCCTTCACATGCATGCGTTTGCTCATGCATGTATGTGTGTGTGTGTGTGTGTGTGTGTGCGATCATTATGTCGTGATCTGAAGCCATCTGGGTTGGCTGGCTTTTTTGCATATCTGGTGTTAACCATTATAAATATTCATGACCAGGGTCTAAACTGGTATGAATATTCAGATTGCCTGCAGGCCGTAGACGGGCGGAGTGGCTGTGATTCCAATCAGCAGAACAGAAACTAACTCAACCTTTTTGTTTGGTGGACGAGAGAACACTCGGATGAGTGCTGTGGGCCTCTCGGTTATGCTCGGTGAGCTCCATATGTATGCGGATTGCTATATTTGCCTTTCGTCATACGGCGGCCATGTTTGATGCACATCATCTCATTCTTGGGAAACGGTGCCAGCAAGACGGAGAGGCAGATGGAGACAGAAACAAACTCAAACTTGTCTTGGACAACAACAAAAAAAAGACGACGATCTAAAGACGACAGAAATGACTCTTTGACGTGAGCGGGGAGCTGCGGGGCAAACGATCCACCAGAGTCCAATTCAGAAGCTGCAGCAGCAGGACCGAAATAAATAATGATGGCGTTGAGCCAACGTGCTGGGCTGACGTGTGACACTGTCAAACCAACGAGGAGGAATTCTCGATGTCTTTGTTAACACCATTAATTGCTTCTTCGACAGTTTACTTGCTAGAACTACTGCTAAGTCATCTGAACTGTTAGAACGGCCACTGCAGCTGCTAGGTAGCATGTAAATCATCCGAAGTGATCAGGTTAGTTGGAATGCACATTTATCAAGAGCATTGAGTAATTCACAGTTGCTGTTATGCTTCATTCCTCTTGCTGTGGCCTGTGATTTGGACCATGACCCGTTCTGCCTACCATGGCAATATCAAAGGGCTATTTGGGTTTATATTTCATTTCGTTTGATTTTCATCCAATGTGGCGGGACGCGGTTCTGTCTTTGATGTGTTGACTCTGTTTCCTCCCGACTTTGGATCCGTTGCCTTTGTGATGGTCCTCGGTGAAATAGGAAATGACAAACATGATACTTGTGAAAAGTGCTTTGATGAAAAATGTGTGCGGAAATAGCAGCAAGCAATGTTGGCAGGTAAGATATCACTCAGACGCATGTAAATGAACGCGCAATAAAACAAAAGCATGCGGCTTTTGCGAGTCACCCCTTGAAAAAAATCACTTTGAAGTGTGAACCTGGGTCTTCACGTGTACTACCCCCGCAGTCCCCTGGAGGCCTCATACTCCCATCTCTCAGCCATGCAAAACAATACAAAGACACACAGACGCTGTGTGAATTATATTAAACTTAAGTAGATCATAAAAGCCAAATTTCATCAAAGGGAAGAAATCCTGAGTGGAGTTGAGGTGGGACCACCACGGCTGACTGTAATAGGCTCACGCACCTGTCAATCAAGCAATCCCTAATATTTTCATCATATCAAACTGCATTTATTCTGCCAAAACCATGATGCATTCACAGTGATGAGTTAACTTTCTTTACTCTGCATGGTCTACTAAGGCTGGTACAGAACTGAAATGTTAAGGATCATAACTTTGATATCTAGATATCGCTAAAGGAAAAGTTATTCGGAAAATCAGCTTCCAAGACACACATTGTAGGGCAAAAACATTACTTCTGAAGAGACTTATGAATTCAATACTAGCAGTAAGTGTCTTCTTTCTTACTCTAGTTGATGTTTTGAATATAAAGGGGAGTGAGTGAGGAAGACAGCGAGATAAAGAGAATACATCAGTATTCAGGAGAGAGGGTTTAGGAAGTGGGAAACTATAATGATCTCTCATCTTCAATAATGCACACTCATACACACACACGGCATTGTTTACAAGGGGTTGTGTTGAATACTGATAAAAAAAATGGTAATTTGAGATGGACAGAGAAGCACACATTTTGCTCAGACACACACCACAAACTCACTTAGGCATGCTCTACCAAAAAGGCTGATACAAAAAATGAACACTTTCTTACTCTTTCACGCTACGGCTACTAAAACGTCATTGCGCCCATATGTGCAAGCACGCAACATAAACAAAAGACACACACATTTACTCGCGTGCAGAATTCACACTCTTGCTTTCTCTCCCTTGTCTGACGGAGACGTCTATTCAAAGATGATGCGGGAACAATAGGTTGTTGTCGATAAATGTGGCGTGACCGTGTCGGTCGCATCGCGTCTGCGCGCGAGCGTGGACATGTGTTCAAATAGAGTGAAAGTGGAGGAATCTGGAATTAGGTTGACTTCACTCAACCACACAACTTCTGCACGTGCACGCATGCACGCACACTATCCCAAGTGCCTTAACGGAAAACACTATGGGGGGGAGAACAAAGAGCCTCCTTGAAGAATAGACATGAATTATTCACTCCATCAGATAAGAGGACAGAGAGGGAATGAGGGAGAGCGACATAGCGTGAGAGACGGGGAGAGAGAGAGAGTGATGGAAATGCAGCGTGGGTGATATGAAGAAAGAGACAGACGGATGGATTGACAGGGACAGTAGGGTACGATATTCTATTAGCAGTACGGACGACGGAGACGGTCCTCAAGAGATTTCAGATAAAGGAACTCAGCGTGCCCCCATCTACTAAACCGTGTCTCAAAACCCACAGGGTGTAAAAAAATATTAAACAGACCAAAATGAATAAATAAAACAACTCAACCACCATCCAAATACACGGCGTTACTTATCTGTAGACAGCCAGGTGCTTGGGAAATCAGGGTCTTATTCTGACTTCAGGGGTGTTTGTTTTTTTTCTCGACCTGAAGGGAAGCGTTTATCCTGTGACAATCCACAACCAGCAAGCGGCTTAAGCTGCAGCACCTGCACTGCTTTCCACTTAGATACGCTTTATCAGATCCGAGCGTGCTCCCCCGCTGCTAGTAATGCAGTGATACTGTATAGTACTTCAGTAACAGCAGACAATCCCGTAGCGCTTTATCCAATATGAGGAAAACTAGCGAGTTGGCATCGCCAGGCGCTCTATCAGCTGCGAACAGCTGCGGTAACCTTAAGGTAGTGCTGCCGTGGCTGTGTAGTGTCCCCACATCGCATGACACAAAGCAACTCAGTGTATTCCTTTAAGTCATACTTTTACTTTAAGTAAAGGACCTGTACAAAGACGTTGTACTTAAACCTGTATGGAAGTACAGTATTAAAACAGGCAGGTATACACCAGGGGTGTTTTCATTTAAAAAAATTGTATCTTAAATTCGGAGTGAGGTTGGTTTTTCTGAGCTGTCCCGCAAATCAAAGCATCAACAATCACGTTGTGTGTAAGCTGTGTTGCACAACAACACAGAGGCTCCTTTGTCCAAACCGTTTACCAGAGAGCACTCAAATATCAATCAGAGAGTTCTGCTAAAAGGAAAACTCAATGAAATAGCTTACAGTGGCTTAGACTATACAACAATTTACCTCAGACAGTCTGTCAGACTCTGCTTTGGCTCCACAGGGTCCAGGTAGTTGGTCCTCCGCCTGCACAAAGCTATTCAAACTTGTTTAAATATTATCTTATTTACCCGTTGTGTCTTCTTAGCTGGTTTGCTAATGTTAGCCACTACCAACCCCACATTTAAGCATCGTCTAATTGATTTAGAGTTGAAGGGAGCTTCACTGTGAGCACAGGACCTCTGCAGTTGCTGTGATCAGACACCTGGGCGAACTTTCGGCTAGCTGTTGATGGTTTGTAAATAAATACCGGGCTGTCTGTTAACCCACAATATCTTGTATTGTGTTTCTGCACGTATGGAACACTGAGGAGGTAACATGTGAGTGTGGATGCTTTGTTTGTTGATGGAACAGGGCTGCTTATCTTAAGTAGTGTCACACATAATATAACAAATCACTTTTGAGTATTGAGTAGTTACCAAAGTAAATTTGTCAAAAAGTTATATGATCAGCATGTAGTGTATTTTTACACTTTAGTCTGTTTGTATTGCGTACTTAGGAAAAAAATATGGTGGACAGGCTTTCTTCCACAAAAAAAAAGTTTATTTTCTGAGATTTTGGTGTTTCTTGACCTTGAACTGAATGTTTTTGATTTGATAGTACACCTGTGCTGATCTCTAACCTGTAAACTGTTTGTTTTTGACGGGAAACCTGAAGGTGTATTATCTCTAAGTACTGCTTAGGTTGCACCTTTATTCATGTCAACATGGAGCGTTTTAACCAGGCTATGAAAGGTTGTAGCAGTGTAGTCCTCTTGTACTATACCTGTAGCAATCACCAGGAGGAAGACAGAGAAAAGTGACCGAGATAAAAAAACGGATTAAATGACGAACAACTGCAGGGGAAAACTTTGCAGTCTCATCCGTTATTCAATTGCCGAGATAAGAATGAGAGACAGACACGCAGGCTGAAAAAAAGGAAAGGAGACAAAATGCTGGAGTGATTGCAGAGCCAGATTGAATTTCATCATTTATTCAATAGTTCAGGAGAAGATAGAGAAAGGCAGGCAGGTAAAGTGAGAGTGAGAGTGAAAGGGCCTAAGAGGCTTTGAAAGACCCGGTAAGAAGTTTATTATCAGGTTTCCTAATCTTCTCCCTCCATTTCATCCCTCGATCGTCAGCTCCACAGCTGGCAGCCGGTCACTTGGGTAGGCGGGCCCTACAGTACTACGATGAGGTAATTTGAATTCACTTATGGCATTTCTGTCCCTTGTTACATTAAACGCAATTCGTGCTGGGCTGACACAAAAAGGAAAGTGTGGCATCAAGTTACAGAAAGAGGTTTGTAGTGAGTCAGCTTTGCAGTCAACAGTGATGGATTGGTAAATTGTACAGGGCCGTAGAGGACTCACATTCCTAAGTCTTTTTGTTCTTCAGGAATTAAATTCAGTTAACTCAGTCAGAGTGAAACATTAGGCTTCTGCCTTAAACTTGTCACACTTAACCACCATGTGACTAATACAAATACATAACTTTTATTTTAGAAACCAGTTCTTATTGCTATATGGCTATATATTCAGAAGGCAGATTACTTGTGCTTGCTGCTTTAAGCTTTGCAGTTGAAACATTTGAACGAGCTGAAATATTGAAGCAGTTGAAGTTGTAGTTAAAGTGACTGTAAAAACAATTACTGAAAGAAGCTGAAGTATATCGATTGAAGGGAAAAGAGTGAACATCGTCAAAGTGTTAATAAGAGCCGGCTGTATCAGTTGAAGTGGAAGTCCTGAAAGAAGCGAATGCCAGTTCAAGTGTGTGTACTGAATGATGTCAGCTGGAGTGTGTAAGAACTAAAGCAAGTTGTGTGTAAACTGTGGAAGTTGTGTGAAGAAATGTCAGTTGAATCGTAAACAGTAAAAGGAGTTGAAATGTCAGTTGCAGTGTAATCCCTGAGAGCAGATGACGTCAGTTAACAAATAAGGGTCGCAGTTAAACTGTCTGTTGACGTGTGAATGCTGAAATCAGTTGAAGCGTCATTTGGAGGAGTTGACATATCAGTTCGGGTCGAACAGAGGAAGGAGGCTTTGGCTGCACACGCGATACTTCTAAAATCTTGAATATGCTTTTAGTCTTACATTTTTATTAAATCATTTAACAACACTATAATTGTGAATATGGGACGAAGTTTAATTATTTTTCAATGTCTAATAATCTCAATATATTTATTTATTTGTCATGGCGGTTTCTAAAACCTTGAACACCACAGCAGTGACTCTATGCCCAAAAAACATATTGACTGACGTCAACAGACGTTTCATGATCTATATGCCTGATGTTTTTCTTCAAGTATCTTTTTTGATAAGATGGCGATGAGACGCCAACATGTGGCCATTTGTGTCAGCTGGAGCCCCAGGGTGACACTGGAAAGGTCCCGCCTGAGTAACGTGCCTGGGTTTCTAATTTGTCTCCAAACCTGCGGTGAAACCAGCTACTTGTTACCTGTTAGCAGCTGTTCCCCCAGAATGACAAGAACCCAGTGCAACACTACCCAGACACCTGGTCACACCCCCCAACACACACACACACATATGCACACACTGGGCCAGGCTTCCAGATGCTGTCCAGACGAGGTAATTGAGCGGAGGAATGGATGGACGCAAGGACAGAGAACAGCGAGGGTAAAGGAGAGAGACGAGAGTGTGACAGAGAATAAAAAGGGTGCTTGCTAAGTCTCAGGGTAAGGGAGGTACTAATGTGAAGAGGAGGGGGAGACACGAGAAAGCCATATTTGAAAAGTGCGATAGGACAAAAGAAGGGATGGAGTGGCAGAGGAGAGGAAGTGGAGGGATAGTCACGTGGGATGGGTCGGATATATGGAGAGAAGGGTTTGGGAGGGGAAGGACGAGAGGACAAATAGAGGCATGTAGATGGAGAAAGACTGCAGGAACGACACAGAAAGGGTCGACTGAAGAGAGAGGACGACGAGGAGATGTTTATTGGCAGAATACTGCAAGATGACTTTTATTAATAGCACATTTATGGGTTTCACTTAAGGATTGATTTGACATTTTTGCAAATTACGCTCATTCGATTTCTTGCCATGAGGTAGATGAGAAGATTGATACGGCCGTTCGGCTGGATGCTATAGTCACCAAGAAGCTAGGCCAGCTTTCAGGCTAAAGGCTAAGCTAAGCCAATCACCGCTCACAGATTAATATCTAACTCTCTGCAAAAATAAAACAATTAAGCGCGTTTCCCAAAATGTCAAATCAATTCCCTTAACTTGTGCATTTATTTTAAATTCACAGTTAAAAGGCTCGATAACCACCTGGGTGGGTTTCCTAAGTTGACAGTCCAAACAATCATTTGATTTTATCTGGTTGTTTCTGATTATTTTCTTTTTTTAAATTATTTGTACTGTTTCTTTGTTACCCTGGCATGGCAACTGAAGTTCTGTTCCGCTGGTTGATCCCAGTAATTGTCAGACATTTTACTTTGTGAAATGGTGGCCCCTGGTAACACGCTATTTGATTGCTTGCAAACAGCTTTGTCGTCTCCCTCCTTCCCTCTCCTTATTCCCCCATTTCTCTCTGTGAAGAGCTCTCTCATTGTCTCTCTGTCATCTCTTTTACTCTTGGATCAGCAATACTCAACACTACAATGTCATATTTGTCTCAATTCCAAAGATATTATGCACACACACACACATACATTAGCCAGAGCGTTTATATGTCGCTTGTA